TAGGAGGAAAGAGGAGAGGTTGTGGGGTTAGGAGGAGGAAAGAGAGGGAAAGTGGATAAGGGTGGAGGCAAGGCGGGGACTGCCGGGAGTACCTGGAAACATTTTGAGTAAGATTTTCTTTTTTGTGGTGTTTGTAGATGCATCATTTGTATTTCTTGTTTAATTCAAAATAATAAAAAAATTTATAAAAAAAAAAAAGGAAATAATCTTTCTCTTAAATTCATATTATACATTCTGACTATTTGAAATTCATTTACTACCTAAACAGAGAAACTCTAAGGGTCTATTAAAAATTAACATATTTTTTCACCATATTTATATAGCAGACAACGCACTTCCAATATTCATACAGTTTCAGCAATTTAGCTTCTTACCATTTCATATGGATCTTTGTTTTGTCTTCCAAATTTCCACAGTAAATGAATGATACCAAGTACTGCCTCCATAATTTGCTGAGATCCAGGTTCCAGAATATTTCCAAGAACTGGAGTTGCAAGTGGTATAGGAGAGGCTTCAACCCAACAATCAAGCAGTAATGGTATTATTACTCGAATGAAACCTTTTAAATTGTTCATGGATGTCAGACCTTTTTCATCACTACTTGTCATGCTTAAAGACCTAAAAAACAAAGAGTTCGGTTTTTCTTTTCTTTTGTGTCCGAAATGTTTACTTAAAACCAAACATTATCAAATGTATTTAAGGGTCATTCCTAAGCATATTAACCAGAGCAAGACTTAGCATATACATATAAAATGCATCAGCACACTAAATATTTCAGAACTAGTTAGTAAATAGTCCAATTTACTAATAGCAGCCCAGAGTCACCTTCTAGGGAAAATGGGCAGCATAGAAATTTAATAAATATGTGCACTTATTTAAACATTAGATTCACAATAAGAAATTTGGGGACTTTTTCAATCTATATGTCTTTTCTGGCAGAAATAATGTTTTACATTTCCAGCAAACAGATAAAGTCTTTATATTCTTATTTTGGAAATATTGTCACAAATTGTCTTCTTTGCAAACATATTTTGCAAGGAAGAATGGGAATATTTAAAACATTCTATATACCCTACATATTCCCACAGATTTTCTACAATAGCCATGTCTGGAAGCTCCAAGGGCTATTCAAAATCTTTATTTTCTGTAAGAATTCAAGATCAATTTCGAAGTAGATTTTATAGAACATAGAATAATAGAGTTGGAAGGGACGTTGGAGGTCTTCTAGTCCAACTCCCTGTTCGAGTAGGAGACCCTATATCATTTCAGATAAATGTTTGCCCAGTTTCTTTTTGAAAGCCTCCAGTGATGGAGCACCCACAACTTCTGAAGGCAAGTTGTTCCATTGGTTGATTGCTCAGACCATTAGGAAATTTCTCCTTACTTCTAGATTGCTTATCTCCTTGGTTAGTTTACATCCTTGTTTCTCGTCTTGCCTTTTGGTGCTCTGGAAAATAGTTTGATGCACACACCCTGCCTTTGCAGGAGCCCTTCAAATATTGGAACAGTGCTATGTCTCCCTTAGTTCTTCTTTTCATTAGACATACTTAATCCCTGTAATCATTCTTCATATCATCCAGTTCATTTTTGTTGCTCTTCTTTGCACTCTTTCTAGAGTCTCAACATCTTTTTTTATATTATGGTGATCAGAACTGGATGCAGTATTCAACTGTGGTCTTACTAAGGCTTTGTAAAATGGTACTAGAACTTCACGTAATCTTGATTCTATCTCTGTTAATTATATATTTTTGTACTGTGGAAATATAATTAATTTTTAGTTTTTAGCTTCAATTTTCAATGATTGTGGAATATTAGACTCTAGGATATCTTGATATTTAATTGAATCTATTTTTTCTTTCACTCATGCAGTTTTTTCTATGCAACAGATTGTCTTTATTCCAAAGCATAACAGAGTCATCCCCAAGTTTACTCACTGGTGAAGTATTTTTCCTTCAAGGATAGAATAAAAGAGCTTTTAATGCAGTCACTATCAAGTATGGTATAGTTTCATAGAATCATAGGGTGGGAAGGGACTTTGGAGGGCTTCTAGTCCAACCCGCTGCCCAAGTCCTGATGCTGTCTGGGGAAAATGGTTCTCCAATGTTTTCTTGAAAACCCCCCGTGATGGAGAACCCACAACTTCAAGAAACAAGCTGTTCCACTGATTAAATCTCCTGTCCGTCTGGAAATTTCTATTTTAAGATTGGATCTCTCTCTAATGAGCTTCTACTTATAGCTTCTTGTCCTACCTTAGGTTCTATGGAGAGTAAATCAATGCTCTCTTCCTACAATAGCCCTTCAAGTAGTGGAAGACTGATATTATGTGTCCCCTAAGCCTTCTGTTCATTCGGCTAAACATATCTGGTAACCTTAACTGTTTTTCAGAGGATATGGCCTTCAGATCCCTTTTCATCTTTGTTGCTCTTCTCTGCAGTTACTAGAGACCTCAGCATCTTCTTTCTATTGTGGTGGCTAGACTGGACATAGTATTCCAAATGTGGCCTCATCAGGGCAACATAGAGCGGTTATATCACTTCTCTTGATATATCCCTGTTGATGCAGCCTAGATTGCATTGGTTTTTGGGGCAGCTGCAACACTCTGATAAAGCATGCGTAAGCGGATGTCCATCGGGACATTTAGATACCTCCCAGAGGCATTATTGTGAGCTATGTACTGCCTATCCTGTATCTGTGCATCTGGTTTTTCCTGCCTAAGTCCAACATTTTATTTTTCTTGCCACTGAACTGCACCTTGTTGAATAAGGCCCAATAAGGGCTCAAGTCTTTCAAGATCTTTTTCCCAAAGTGTTAGCAATACCTCTCCAACTTTATATCATCTGCAAATTTGATGAACATCCTTCAATCCTCTCGTCCAGGTCATTTATGAAAATACTGAAGACCAATGGGCTTAAAAAGAACCTTGAAAAACTCCACTACATGCTTCCCTCCACCCAAATATAATCCACTGAGGACCACATGGTGAGCGTGGTTGGTCAGCCAACTGTAGATCTTTTGGGTAGTGGTAATGTCTCTTCTGCACTTTGTTCTATTTTACCAAGAAGCAGAATATAGCCTACTTTATGAAATATTTGAAATCTAAGTATACTATATCCACAGCATTTTCTTCTCAACTAATTTAGTCACTTTATCAAAAACAGTAAGATTTTTTTGGTATAACTTATACTTCTTAACAAACCCATGCTGGATTCCAGGAATCACCTGTTTCTAGAATCAGAGAAAAAATAAATACATTCTAACCTTTTACAAAAGCAAATTACCACTGAAGTGTTTTAAGTTTTCAACGAAGAATGCATAATTAAATTTTAAAAGAATATAATAAATTACAAGTTTTACTGAATTGTTTGGTAAACAATAACTACTAAGTGTAGCATTTTAAACTAGTTCCAAGCATACAATTTTCTTACCTTAGTGTAAACAATGAATTAATTTTGGGATATAAGTCACTATTTTCATACAACTGGATGTGCTGTTGACTGGTGACATGTTCTTGCCAATTAACACATATGGACTTCTGAATTCCGACATTATGAGTTCGCTCTTTTTGCCCCTCACTGTCAATTTCTAGTATACTAGAATCTTCTACCAAGATCTGGAGGAATTTTTGAAGTCTAACTAGAACATTCACCCTCCATTGTTGAGACATCATTCTGCGATTAGGATTAACAGAAATCATCCAATTCATTTTATTTCTAGTTTTCTGCTGTGTTGACAGTTGCTGATGAGAAATAAGTTCCACAAAGTTATTCAGTAATACACTACTGCGATCCCTCAGGAGAGTAGGGTATTCCTTCAAAAAAATATCCAATATCTTCAAAGAATCTTCCTGAATTTCTTCACTGATGTGAGTCATGGCACTAGAAAGATGAGCACTCATTAAAGGGAAGAATGGAGAGATGTGCTCAGCTCGTATTTTGGGAGCCAGGAACTGAAGAAGGCAAACTGCTGCTTTTCGCACACTAGAATCCTTGTCTGTAAACACAGCTGCTAACTCACTCAGTATATTTGAAAGGTGAGCATCCATTATGAATGGATACTGAGACAGTAGATCTTTGAGTCCAAAAAGTGCACTTTGTTTAACTCCTGCACTATAGTGATTCATCTGTGAAAGCAGATCCTAAAATATAACATAAAACATTTCTGTTAATACTCTTTTCATTGTAAAATATTTTAAATATATAACATATTTTAAGCATTTTCCTCTGCAACTGCTTCTTAAAAGCATATTTTTAAAAAAATAGTGAGATAATTGATTGAAAATTGTAACATAAAGAGCTGAATATGATATGTAGGATACAACTGACATATAGCAGAGAAAGCTATAATTTATAACAGATAATAAACTATGGTGATTAAAAATTATCCCAGGGTCATTCTAAATGAAAAAATCATGGAGTACTTATAAAATTATATAGAGATCTGGACTATATACAGAAATGAAATACTTATTAGATTACATAAAGATCTGAACTACAGTGAGAGAAAAACTTATTTGATCCTCTGCTGATTTTGTACATTTGCCCACTGACAAAGAAATGATCAGTCTATAATTTTAATGATTTGCATTTTAATGAGTGAAGTAAGTATTTGATCCCCTATCAATCAGCAAGATTTCAGGCTCACATGTATCTTTTATACAGGTAATGAGCTGAGATTAGGAGCACTCTCTTAGAGTGCTGTCCACAGAAGCAATCAATCAATCAGATTCCAAACTTTCCACCATGGCTAAGACCAAAGAGCTATCCAAGGATGTCAGGGACAAGATTGTAGACCTACACAAGGCTTGAATGGGCTACAAGACTATCACTAAGCAGCTTGATGAGAAGGTGACACTAGTTGGTACGATTATTCGCAAATGGAAGAAACACAAAATAACTGTCAATCTTCCTTGGTCTGGGGCTTGCAAGATCTCACCTCATGGAATTTCAATGATCATGAGAATGATGAGGAATCAGCCCAGAACTACAAAGGAGGATCCTGTCAATGATCTCAAGGCAGCTGGAACCTTAGTCACCAAGCAAACAATTGGTAACACACTACACTGTGAAAGACTGAAATCCTGCAGTGCCCACAAGGTCCCCCTGCTCAAGAAAGCACATGTAGTGGCTTCCGGTTCTGGATCGCAGCGTCTTCGGACGCACGGGGAGAGTTCCCTCCCCCGCCGTCTGGTTTCTCTCCATCGAAAGACCCTGGAAAGGGTCGAAAGTCGCCCTGGAGGGGCGACCACCGCTGAGGAGGACCCTCGCCTGAGGGTGGAAGAGCGGCAGCCCTCCCCCTTGAGCTGAGGCAGCTCCTTTGGATCGACGGAAGAAAGGTCGGCCATTAACATGGCCGACCATCTAGCTGCACCAGCCGAAAGCCAAAAGCACTACTAAGCTCAATGAAGCACTGTGGAATATCTGGGTGAGACCTTTCCTTTTCTCTCTCTTTACCCTAACTACCTTCCTGTGAAAGCTCCTTGAAACTATCCCTCCGCTCTCAATTCAGCAGCATTTGCATACTTGGGAATTTAAGCTTTGAAAAGAAAAGAAAAGAATAACTAACTTTAACAACTAGATAATTGGATCTTTGCTCTGTGGATACCTTGGGGTCCCAAAATTTCTTATTATAGAGACTTATCATTTACCTAAACTATTAATTTTGGAAAATATTTTTTTCTCTGTTTTCTTTAACTGAAAAATAAAAAAGCTAATTGGCGTTTGGGAAAAGATTTTGTGGTCTGCTGAGGACATCTTGTGGCAAAACATGGCATAGCAATTGAATTTATTTATTTTTTTCTCAATTGTGCCAGTTGACTCCCTTGATTTGTCCTTCATATTACCCAAAAGATAACAATTGGAAACAGCTGGCTGGTGAAAACAACCGACTGGTGAAAACAACCTCTAGAAAATGTGGAGGTGAACACTGGCTGACTCGTATTAAATATAGCCTCCACCAAAGGACTATTTCTAATCACCATGGAAACGGAGGAACTCTACCCACAACTTAACTACAAACTTATCCTTGAAAAAATTCTTCAAGCTACTGAGCTAATCAAGTCAAAAGTGAAAGCCGAGGATATTTTCACAATACTACAAAGCGAACCCCAGACTCCAGATGATCAACCTACAAGCCAAAAAACAACAGAAGAGGAACAATAATATCCACAACCTATTAAGAACTTTGGTAATCCAACACTGACTTTAACTACAGTATCTACAACTCCAAAAGCAACAGGAGCTGATCAACAAACATACCACATTGAGAACTCAGACAATTTAGCTAATCAAACAATAACTACAATACTGGATATGACCTTTTACTTTACTCAGACGAAACTGGAAGAAGAACAAAGATTTGAACTATTAGGGCAACAACCTAATTACAACAAAGGGGCCAGTCCCTTTGAAAAATTGATAACTGGATATTCTCCCTTGGTTCAAACAACATGTGTGGGAATGAAGGGAGACATATCACTGGATTCAGAAGCACTGGTATGGGAGCCTGCCTGGCACAAAAAGAAAGCCAGAGTTAGATTTAAAAATGGGATTTAAAAATTCACTTAATGGGCTAAGTAGCTCTTTGGAGTGATTGGTTTAATATCCAGGATTAAGACTTATAAGGGAAATTAAAATTAATTGTTAGATTATAGTATTGATTGTCAGATGGAAATACATTTGTGATAAGAGAAGATTTTCGTTAGTAAATGAAATAGAATATATTTGTGAACAAAGTAAGAAGGCAAATTTTGGATTAACATGTCTATTTTAGTTAAGTATCTTATAATGAAATGAGGAAAATTAAGGTTATCCAAAATTTAAATATTGGTTATAAAAGGCTAAATTGAAACATGGAATTGGAATCAAGCAAAACTTAAAAACAGGACTTGGATATGTATAAGTAAAATCTTATTGATAAATGTTTTGACTGACTGAGCTGTAGTTAAAAATGTATTAATATGAACATGATATAATATTTAAGGGAACTAGAGAGGGAATCCTTATTGATGTAACCTGAGATATACATGAATGATTTTGTTATTGGACTATTGATTACCCTATCACCACGCTGCTTCCTAAGCACCTGGATGTAAAAACTTGAAAAACTAATAAAACTTGTACAAAAAAGAAAAGAAAGCACATGTAGAGGCCCATGTGAAGTTTGCCAATGAACATCTGAATAATTCAGAGAAGAACTGGGTGAAAGTGTTGTGGTCAGGTGAGACCAAAATCGAACTCTTTGGCATCAATTCAACTGCCTATGACCCCCAAAACACCATCCCTACTATCAAACATAGAGGTGGAAATATGCTTTGGGGGTGTTTTTCTGCTAAGCGGACAGGACAACTTCACCACATCAAAGAGATGATGGATGGGGCCATGTACCATCAAATCTTGGGTGAGAACCTCCTTCCTTCAGCCAGGGCATTGAAAATGGGTCGTGGATGGGTATTACAGCATGACAATGACCCAAAACACACGGTCAATGCAACAAAGGAGTGGCTGAAAAAGAACGTTAAGGTCCTGGAGTGACCTAGCCAGTCTCCAGACCTTAATCCCATAGAAAATCTGTGGAGGGAGCTGAAGGTTTGAGCTGCCAAACATCAGCCTCAAAACCTTAATAACTGTAGAGGATCTGCAAAGAGTGGGACAAAATCCCTCCTGATATATGTGCAAACCTGGTGGCCAACTGCAAGAAATGTCTGACTTCTGTGATTACCACCAAGGATTTTGCCACCAAGTACTAAGTCATGTTTCGCGACAGGGTAAATATTTATTTCACTCATTAAAATGCAGATCAATTTATAACTTTTTTAAAATGCATTTTTCTGGATTTTTTGTTGTTATTCTATATCTCACTGTTAAAATAAACCTACCATTAAAATTATAGACTGATCATTTCTTTGTCAGCGGGCAAATATACAAAATCAGCAGGGGATCAAATAAGTTTCTCCCTACTGTACATATGGAAAAATGCTCTTTTCCATGTCTGGTAAAATGCTTAGTTTTACAAAAGTTAATTTTCTGATAAAATTGGTCTGAAACTAACTACAACAATAGCCTGGGAACTCAAACTTTTGTTTTTACCTTTATATTAAGCTTCCTATTATTTGTTGGAAGTATACTACCCTGTCTCAGCTGCTCAGGAAGATGTATAGTCTTTGTTCTGAAATTTGTGTCAGTTGCATTTTCTAGTCGAGACTTCTTTTTCCCAACTTTTAATTTGAGTTTATGAAAATCTTCTTGATGTTGTCTCTTTTTAGTCATTTTGAAATTCTGCAAAAAAAATGTGAACATTCTTAGAGAGAAAAAATACTTCCAATTGCACTGATAAAGTAAAAAATTCATTGAGATATTGCATTTAAAACTGAATAGCCAAATCTGTTAGTTCATATCAAATATAAATTAAGGACAGTTTTATTGTCTCTTATCCAATCCCCAATAAGTTATCTGAATATCCACGAACAAGGCTATCCTGAGAGTTAAAATACATTGCATTTGGGTGTCATACTAGAGATTCTAGCAGGAAAAACACATGTTTTGAGAAACAAATTTTATTTTAATCCAATTTCAAAAAAGAAGTTAAGGCACCAGACAATTAAAAAATAATTTTACATTAACATAACACATTTATATTACATTTATATACATAACTAATTCAATGCAAACCTCTAAAAATTATATTAAAATCATAAAATAATATAAAATCCAAGATGCACAACAAGCTATAAAAGATACAGAGGTACTAATTTTAATGATGTCTGGTTGAACACTATTCCATAAAATGGAACTAAAAGATGGTTGAAAGAAAGAATTGAAAAGATATATTCACTATCAGTGTTAATTTACAAATATAATAGAACTGAATAGGAGATCTATGTCTAACTCATTTTCTTATTCTAATATTCTATTCAAACCTAGAATCAGTTTTTAACTGCTTAAAAAAACACTGACAATGTTACAATGTCATGGTTAAAACTGACCTGTTTAACATACATATTATAGATGATATTTTAAAGGCTTATCTATTGGAAACAGTAAACACTTTAAATGTGAAGATTATTGAAATGGTATTCTAGCTTCTATTTTTCTGCATGAATGGAAAAATTATTATCGAATTCATTTTAGGTTAAAAAGTTTGAGTCCAAGGAGCACTCCCCCGAATCAACAGGAATAGCCTAAATCAGCCTAAAAGATAACCTGATGAAAAATCTAAATTTAAACTCAGATACAGAAATTCTCCGCATTGGCTAAATATCCACCATATTTAAATACTCCAATAGGACTGAGTAGCCGTGGCCTCCCGCCAAAAAAATACCTAAACGGTTAGCAGAGACCTCGTGTACCTGAAGAATCCAAAGATTTATTCTTTTGTAAAGCTACTTTCAGAACAACCTCCTTTCAAGGGAAAGGAAGTTCCACTCGGCGGCAGGCAAATAAAACAGGAAACGGGGTATGGGATAGAGGAAGCGCCTCAACAGGATCTCAGTCAGAAAAACCCTTGGAGCTCCTAAGCACGAAAAGAGATAAATGTTCTTGTCTACCAAGGAAAGTTTGATCCTCGTCTAGTTTTCCTCCTTTCCGAACCACGCGCAAAGCTACTCACCCACCCTATTCCGATCAATGAAACAATCTACGCGGCAACGATAGCTGGCTTCGAAGATTCCTTCCGAGTCGAAATCCCGTATCCGGTCACGTTTTCCGGAAGTCACTGTAATGTTTTCTCGTTACTGCTGATCGCAGCAGTTCATGATTGTATTGTCGAAACTATGTTCTTGCGATTGGGCGGAAAGGAACAGGGAACAAGCGGCATACCGGTTTCTTCGGGTTCCATCAGCAGGAACAGAAGAATAGTAGTATAATTTACATGGGAAGTGTACAGTTATACCAAAGATATTGCGGAATTGTGGTCAAGCCTCGTCTAGGTTAATGTTTCCTAAACTCGGTACACATCTTAAAATTGGGACAGTAAAGTTAATGTAAGGAAACGGTTTCTTCATAACCTCATTGAAGAATGTAATAAGGCTACATAAGGATCTAATGGGCCTTCGTGGAATCAGAATCATATACAATCATAATTGTTGCATTCCAGTCACGTGAAACCATCCTCAAAGAACATAGTATGTGTGCTTACAGCCATAACAATCATGGGTCTTTAGTCTACTAAAATGTAACATGATTTTTAAAAAGGTTTCATCTGAAATAATTCTCAATTTCAGACTATCATTCTCAAATTACAGAACAAGCAAAAAGATTCATACAGGTTTGTGCTTGTGCCAATGTGATGTAAAATATGTAAGTGGCATTTAATTTTCATAGCAGATTCCGAAGAAAGCAGAAACTGCACAATATGTCACATCAGGGATAAAGACAAATATACCTGTCCCAGGATAATGTTGGGAGGTCCAATCTGGGTTGGTCACTAGGACCAGAAATGTAGTCTTCCAAAGCTTTCAGACTCATGCTGGAGCACATCTTTAGGGGACTTATCTCTACCAGAATGTGTGCTTTGGGCTATTCAATGGGTAGTATTTATGTGGTACCTGGTTATGTGTGGCTTTTTAATTGTTGATTGGGGTATTGATGGACAACTATTAAGTCTTTGGTGTTGTGTACTGATCCAGATTAGATCCTGAAATATGTCATATCACACAAATACACATACTGGTAGGCCTTGCCTTATATCCACTCGGACCATTCAAAATTATTGTGACATGAAAAAATAGACTTATTACTCATCCTGAAAGATTCAGCATCTCAGCCCCTCAATCACGTGACTGCAATCTGATGCTCAGGTTCCACCTTGCACTTACAACGTTGCAGCAAGCCACAGTCATCTGATCACCATTTGTGACCTTCCCAGCCAGTTTCCCACAACAAAGTCAATGAGAAAGCCAGCCGGGAATATCACAAGTTCTAGCAAGTTGCTCAAACTGTTATTTTTCCTGAGGAGCCTGTTCCTCAGTATCACTTTCTCTGTAGTGTAGACAATTGAAGGGGAAAAAAGTTATTCTTTTAATAATTGTAGAAATATAATTGTAGAAATGTAATTGTAGAAATAATTGTAGAAATGTAATGCCATTATATGAAACTCTCTCTTTAGTACAAATGTAACACTGTAACGCAAATGTAGCAATGCACTGCCAAAATGTGTGAGAAGGTTTGTTTACTATTTCCTGCCTAAAAAAATTCCTCCGGAGACAGAAACTTACACGTTGAGTAGAAATCACTATCAAAGAGGGGGATTTTGACCCAAGGTGAAAATTACAAATAAACAAGATAACAGCAGATGGACGCAAGAGGTCAGGATGACTTTAAGTACAACTTCAAAGAATGACTATAAAGATGAAAGAACTTCTTAGATGTGACATGCATTGTAAAGGTATAAAATGCAAAGCTTGAAACCAGGCCGGCGCGCTCTTGGAACTCATTCAAGTGGGAAGATTTCAGGAGGCCGCGTTTGCAAACGCTTTTCTTTTCTTTCATTATTATTTTTATGTTTTTCTCCAATAAAACTTTGTTTTGTTAACCAGATTTGTCTTCGTATTGTGGGTATCAAAACTGGGGTTTTTACATCTCACACATCCACCCTTTGTACTGAGGCAACTCCGAGCTGTCCCAAAACTTATTTGACCCATGCATGGCATCCGCTAGCCTGCCTATGCCTTGTAACAGTTGGTAACCGCAACTTCCATTCCTAACAGCACCCTCCACCCACCCACTCTGGTACCCCCACTTTCCTTGCCTTGGACTCCACTTCTTCCTGTTTAATAACCATTATTGTCCTGGGATTATGATGGCAACAAGAATTACTGTTGCTAAGTGATGCAATTACATTATATCATGTTTTACAACTATATCATTTAGAGAGCAATTCCAAACCAAATTACTGTTGTAATCTGAGGACCAATTGTATCAATTATGTATCCAGAAACTTTACATGATGGAAAGAGATGACTTTAAGTGCATGCTGCTCTCTGAACGTGATGTCTTTCTTGCAGTTTCATTACCAAATTAGATAACATCATCAGTAGCATTTGCTCTTATTTTTATATATTAAACATTTGCCCTGTCGGTATTGGTAGGAGTGTTCATGGTGGTTCCTTGATTCCATCCTATGTAGTTTATTAGATATTTGTATCTGACGCTGCTGGGCAAGGCATGCTGTCATAGGTATTCATGCAGAAAAACAATTGATCCTTGATGGAAATGTGCCTATATGCACATTTTCCCATTTGCATGCTTTATGAAGTGTTTCATTTTCAGTTGTGGTACTGATAGAAGAAAATATTTATAGGTCAGGGTTGAACTGTGGGATCCTTGGGGCACTCTGAGTTTGGTTGTTTTCTTGCAGATTTCATTATCAAACTAGCCAATTAACAAATAAATGAATTTCTTATTTATAAGTTAGATTACATCATAGCATGACTCAAAAATATATATGAGACACAGAAATAGTTTAGAAATAGAATTGTTTTAAAGTTACAGTTGGTCAGACGTATACCAGATGCATACATAAGATGTAATATTTTTCTAAGTCTATCTGACCTTATTTATTTAATTAAATTTATGTAGCCACCCATTCCACATATGTGACTATGGCTGGTATACACAATTAAATAAAAATGTCAAAACAATTAACAAAAAAACTAAAACATTAAAATACAATTAAAACAATTTAAAACTATTGTTGAAGGAAAGGTCTTCATTGTGGTTCAGTCCAAGCCGGGAATAAACAACATGGCGACTGCTTTAGAAAGAAGGTTGCAGTTTATTGAAGAAGAGAGCCAGACAGAAAGATGGCTCTGGAAGAAAAGAGCGAGCACATGTAGGGAGTGGGTTTTTATACCCTCTGGAGCCTTTTGTTTGGAGCTGTTTCCTGTTCCTGTTTGAGGCTTTATATTTCCTGTGTCATGTATTCTGATGTGAGTCTGGGTGTGCCCTTTGGCATCTGTGAGTTAATCCTATTATGTCCTGTCTTAGACTTTGGGTGGGGTATGTAGATTTTAGGTGTCTTTGTCTTCTTAATCTTCTAGCTGGGTGCTTCCAACCTTCCTGGATTATTTACATCTGCATTTGTACAGAGCTGGTTTCTGCTTGGGGGAGGGAGACTTGGGGCTATTAAGAAAACTGGGCATGCTTTTCTGCCTCTTTAAGATCCTTTGAGGAAATACATTTTTCTGCCCTTTTTATATTTCCTTCTCTGGGGGGCTGACTTCCCACACTATAAATAAAACAAAAATCACAGGAAAGGAGATTCCAAAAGTTACAAAAAGTATAACCATTTCACAGTATGGTTTAGTATCTTCAACCCTTATCCACTTCTAGAATTCCTCACTAGATTAAAATACAGCATGATAATGATTCTAGTAATTGTTGTGGTTAATAATCAGAATATGCTGTAACAAATGAGATGTGCTTATGAGCGAATCCTTTAGGATTCTTTTGTCCTCTCCATTTTTTAATATGGACCTCAACAGACAAAATTACTTTGAGATTTGGATTTCATATTCCACCGGTGTATCAATGGTATAGTTCTACCTCTGTCTTCAAACTTTTGAGCTCAATAAATTATCAGACACACTAAACAAGACACACTACCAAGATATTCCTGTCAAATGTGGCACAAACGATAAGAACCATGAGCTAAGCCATTCTTCTGAGTCTGTTGTCTTAATTTCCCCGCCTGTTTCCTTATCTCAAGCAATCATGACATCTTTTTACTGACACAATGTTTTTCAAGGCAATGGTTCTATAGTTCTGCTTTGTGGGATGTTGTTAATCTTATTTAAGCAAGAAGTCAAGACATATTCACATTAAGAAATTGACTAGATTATATAGGAATACTGTATGTTGGCTGATAAAATAAAGTTCTAAAAGTGATGGAAAATGAAACTTACATAGCCATTTTCATTGCACTATAATTGGTGAGAGCTTCATATTTCATAACTGAGTAGAATAACAATTCAGTTGGAAAGAAATGTTAACAATGATGTCTGATACATAACAGGAGTATCATACTATTGTCTGCATCTTGTCTAATTGACTTGTGGCAACTTTGAGTTGAATGAAAAGTAAACTGAATGAAACTTAAAACTTAGTCATGTTGGGAATGGAATTAAAACACCAACAAAATTGGATTGGTAAGAAAAGAGTTTATTCTGCAGAAAATAGAAAAGCGGTTTGCAAAGCGCGGTGGATCCTAGTGAAAGACTTCAACAGGAAGTTCTAAACCAGAGACCACACGCAAACATTCAAGTTCATGGCATTATATACAGTTCTATCGCGATGCCCTGTTCCCTCCCCTTCGGTCCCATTTGATAGGCTCTCTGGGTTTACAATCTGTCTGAGATGCCTAGTCAGAATACATTATATCTACCTTTGATTGGTTACATTGATTCAAATTTCTCCCCACCCTTTTTTCCGTTTACTGTTCCTCTTTAAGGATCAATTATTCGTGGATAGCCAAGCCTCCTGGGATTTAGTGTCTATGTGCAATTTCAGCTTGACTAATCCTTTATTGTTAAGCAATTAAAATCTTTTATTTTTAAACTCCTTTATTTCTCACAAATCCACCCTTTCTATTTTTTATAC